AAAAAAAAAAAAAAGGCAAGAGGAATAAACAGGGATGGAAGTCAGCCCTGCAGGGTGCTCTGGCCATGGCCCTCAGGTGGAGCGTGCTCCTCTGGTCCTGATCTCGGTGCAGGAGACCACTTGAAGATTAGGGGGTAGGATTCTACTCCAGGGGCAGTGGAGCCATGTGACATGGGAGAGGGACAGGGACACTAATGCTCCTTCCTGGAACCATCTGCACCTGTGACTCCCAGGTGATGTTAATTTGGTGCTTCTAATCATTCTGAGCAGCAGATGCCTTGTTGAGCCTCAGGAGTTGAAGCTACTTGCTTTTCTCTAGTCTGGCACCGGGGAGCCCAGCCTTCCCTCTACTCTGTTTTGAAGGGCATCGTCTTGGGGCTGAGGCCTAGGTCGCCCCAACCTCCTGGAGTGGCTGTTGCTCCAGTCTGGTCACTGCTGCCTCTCAGGAGGGCTGAGAAGGCTGGGAGGGAGGCACAAGGAGAACCCGTGGTCTAAAGCCTTGAGTTTCCATTTCCTGAGCCCAGTAGAAGTGAGCTGTAAACTGAAACGGTCAAAGGTGGGGCAGGGAGCCTTGGGGCTGAGTTTCCTCATTTCTCTGTTCTGGACGCGGGAAAGGATAAAGGGTGGAGGGGAGGAGCCCAGATGCTAAATTTCAGTTTCCTGAGTGGAAGCAGCAGAGAGGGAGACTAAAGAAGACAGACGGAGGAGTGGGAGGTTCCTAGGGCTGTTTCTTTTTGTCAAGCCTGGAGGGAAGAGGGGGGAAGGGGTGGCACCACACCCCTCAGTGTCCAGGCCTAGGCTAGGGTGCTAGGTGTGGGGATATTTGCCCTGCCCATGCACACACAGGACCTCAGACTCTGGTCCCAGTGCCCATGTGCCCAGGACAAGGCCTCCACCTCCACAGACAAATCCACCCAGTTCCTCCCATTCCTGACGTGTGTGTGGATGAGATCACTGGCATCTCCTGAGCCAGGCCCTGGCTGGCCTCCAGCTGCTCTGGCCTTGGCTTCAGGCTTCAGAGGTGGGCAGGCTGCCCACTCCTGCCCACTGTGTGCCCAGCCCACAGGGTGCTTACCCTAGTGCCTAGGCCCTGCCCCCACCTCTGCAGAGCCCTCCAAGGGTCCCAGCCTGCTGGCCTGGACCTGTCCCAGACAGTCCAGTCCGGGTCCTCTGGTTCCTCTGTACGTTCAGTAGCTTCAGGTAACCTAGACATGCAGGACTCCAACTTCAGGGTCTCCTCAGTTCCCTCTGGGCTCCTTACCAGGGACTAGGAACCTGCCCTTCCTCCTTTCCTCTGCCAGCGTAACAGGCACTACAAAATGAAATTTTTAGAGATAGATTTTTTTTTTTCTTTAGAAACAGCTTCTCCTGCCTAGGGCATAAATGCCCACCCCTAACTCTCCTCAGCTCAGATGAATGGACAAAATATGCAGGTGCTGGCCCCAGGAAGTCCATTTTCCTTTCACCAGAGGGATGGGAAAGGAGAAGTCTGGGTCCAGGAAGGGATAAAACAAACAAATATATCTACTGTATCATCAGATACTCCCCCATTCTTGCTATAAAAGACCCCAACTCACCTGCACACAAGGAAATAGATGGTGGTTTAAGGCAAATGAGCCCCTCATCTCCTTGGAGCCAGCTTTGCGTAAGTCTCTTTTGCTTTTTACCAAAATAAATGTTCTCTGATTTGGTCCACAGTGAGCAAATGAACCTGAGCATATGGACCTAAGCAGCCAGTAGCACCAGGACCCCTGGCCCAAGCTTGTGGGGAGACAGCCTCACTTGCCAGTCTCCAGGCTGCTCCTGGGCCTCAGAGGCCCCAGGTGGCTGAGTTCAAGGTCACAGCTAGAAGGAGAGAAAGGGGCAGAGGGGCCTGTGACCCCACCCTGGGAAGGCTACTGGCCCAGCCTCCTGGAAAATTGTAGAGGACTCAGGACACAATGCTAGGCAGAAAGGCATAGGGGCCAGGGGATGGCAGCCACATGGGTGAGATTCTGGGCCCCACAGGGAGCTGACCATAGACAGTGGCCATGACAGATGGCAGGACAGTAGAGTGATGACAGTGCCCAGGCTAGGGTGGGAGGGAGGTAAACATCACGCTGGGGTGGACAGCACACAGGGGTCCAACCTTCCCCACTGGGTCTGGGCAGTGTGGTGGGGCTCCTACCCTCCCTACTCTGAGGTGTAGGAAGGGGCCTATAGGGTCTGGGGCCCCTACACTTGAGGACATCACCTCGGCTCACCTCCATTTATCCTTACCCCCTCTCCCCTGCTGCACCCCATCAGGGCTTGGGCCAGCCACCTTCATAGCAGTGGAAGATGCCAGGTAAGGCCTGGAAATATTTCTCCTGCCAACCCTGAGCATTGGCAGTGACTTGCACTCTGACCCCTTCCCTTGACCCAGAGGGAGGTTGAGGTGCGGAGACTGGGTCAGGGAGCAGTTAGGACTGCAGAGAATCCTGCTCAGGCCTGATGGCTGGAGGGGGCTTCAGTCCATCTGTCCTACAGTTCTTTGAAGGCTCTGGGAGGATCGCATAGCTGAATCTTCTGCCCCTAATGCTGGGACTCCTATATTCTAGTCTATGCCTCCTACACTGATCTCGGGGGTTAAACATTGCTCCTCCCAGTACTATCTTCCCCCAGGTTCCCAGCTTGGCCAGACCACTTCTGCTTCCCTCACAGCCCAAGAACCCCTTCCTGTATCCCCCAACCTCTTGCTGGGCAGCCTCTTCCTCAGTGGGTCTTAAGTCTGATTTGGGAGACAAAGGGTCCCCAGCTCCTGCCTGCCTTGCCTCTTCCACCTCCCTACCAGCCCAGGGCTTAGTGAGGGCAGGGATCCATCAAGGGGCCACAGGTGGGCAGAGGGGAGACACACTGAGTGAGGGTGGCCCCAGGCTCTGCCCTCACCTGAGTCCTCAAGGATAGGCAAGGCCCTGCTCCTCCTCCCTCTCCCACCTGCTTCCAGAGGCAGGTGTCCTAAGTGACCTCTTTCCTGACTTTCTCACAACTCTTCCTTGGGCACCCTCAGCCTCCCAGAGTTCTACTCTCCAGTTTCCTGTTATGGCCCTTAGTGCCCTCATGTGGCTGAGACCTGAGCTGTGGGTGCAAACCAATACTTCCTCATCCCCCAGTGTCCCGGGAGGACATGACAGTGAGACTCCCACATTCCTGCCTGTGATACCAGCCACCTCTGAGGTCCTTCTTGTTCTGTAAGACTCACATGGCACCAGGGGTACAGGATGCCTGGTAGGGTTGCTTTTCCCACTGACTTCTAGGGTGGGACCCCAACTCTGGGAGCCTCTGCATTTACATTTCCTGATGCTTGAGGATCGGGAAAAAGGTTGGCAAACCAGGTGTGATGATGTACACCTGTAATTCCAGCACTCTAGGAGGCTGAGGCAGGAAGATCACAAATTCAAGCCCAGCCTGGGCAGCTTAACAACTTGAAGACAGCCTGTCTC